TATTTTTTTCCCTACTTTAATTTACTAAATTAGATATGAATGGTCTCGTATTCCAACAGATCGTCAACCTCAAGCCTAGCATAAAGCCTAAAAAAATAAAGTCTTTAAGGCTATATGCAACAAACAAAACAAAAGAACTCAAATCCAACCTTCAGTTTTTACAACTCTATCAAAAATTAACTTCACTTTTTTTTTCTAGGTTCAGATGATTTTTTTACACTGCCCGACAAAAAACATGTAGCCTTGGAGTATTCATTCTAAATTTGCTTGCTTACATTTTGAAAGCAGTTACTAGACGGTACAGAGATTTCAAGTAAACTATGTTTTATATAGACCATTTGAAGATATCCAGTAAGGTGAACATGAAAGAATAAAAGCTATAGTATTCTATATATAATGCGAAAATAAAATGGTAGGATCGATTTGCGTAGTGTTATCATCAATAATATCTTATGATGAATTACTATAGAAAATATGTATAACTCCCTTCTTCTCTCTGACATCTATTTTAAAAAAAATATATATAGAATAGATTAGTGGATCAATAAGATAATCATTATTGATAATCATTCAAATTAAAATGTAAATTCAAATTAAACGCAAACAAAACCTGGATATGGCATTCAGTGGAAACGACTATTCTTTTGCCACTCACTTTGGATGTTTCTTCCACATTCTCCGCAAGCCTCCTCTGCCACGGGTCTCAACGTGGGAGACTCGATGAGGTCACCGGCAATCGTTTTGATCAGCAAGTCCCACTACTCGTGTTCAAATAGGACATCAAGTGGGATGATCGGTCTTTGAAATCTCACCTCTGATAACCATGGCTTTGTCATGTTGTGAGGCTACAGTTTAGTCAAAACATCATCCAAATTAATAAGGATTTTATCCACATTATTTCGTCAATCAAGCATGCAACCGACCTGCTCTTCCTTGTTTACTGGCCTCTTGAGTTTGAAGCACAGCACGCCTGCTATCTTCTGCTGAACACTTTATTGTTCTTCAATGCTTCTGTGAGTGCTTTCATGATACCCACTTTGGTACTTTCGAAAAGAACAAAGATCTTGAGATCACGGCATTATTCCTGGAGGATCAGGTGCAGGCTTGGAAACATTTTCAAACTTGCCGTCCTTTTTTAGCTTTGCAATTGCTACAAGTTTTCTATAAATTATCTTAATTATCAGATAATCGTCACTTTAATTAAAGGAAATAATTGTTCTACAGGTACATCACCCACATTCTATTCACCTGCATAAAGATCAGTCCTATTATCTTGTGAAGTTATCTGACCTCATCAATTTGCATAGCACTTCCATTCTTACGAGAGAAAGTGCCAAATATGAATTTCATTTAATTCTTCCATTAATTTGTTTATGATCCAAAGGAAAGGAAGAGGATTGCTTAATTTTTTTAGATTATGGACTGCGTCCAGAAAAAAAAATCAAGTGATTTAATTCATCCAAACGACTTCTGCCAATAAGAACATCAAGTGGTTTTATTTTTTATTTTTGAATTATGAACTGCATCCAGAAAACTCACTCTTAATTAGGGGATGTCTATGATATACTAAGTTGGTATCTGATTCATATTTTAAATTCACGATTTTATTAATAATTAATAAATGTAAAGCTATTTTCATAATATGAGTTTTCATTTATTAATTAAAAGAATATGCTAACTTTTTAGCTATTAAAATTCAAATCTTATTTCACATTATATATAAAAAAAAATTCATAAATCTTTTCAATTTATATATATATATATATATATAAATTCATAAATCTTTTCAAGTCGGACTTCAATATATAATCTAATTTTAGATTTATTAAAAATAACCTTGATTTCAATGTGTAAAAACTTGCTTAAAAATATAAAAAAGAAGTCGATGAAGAGGGGCATCATTTTTTATTTTATTTTTCAATGCACTATAAGAACACAATTATTATTCTTGAAGCACAACCTGCAATGCACCTAACTAAACAAATGCTTTATTGGCAGTACCACTCTTCTTTAACATTATCCTTATTTTAATTCTCAAAAAGAGTTTCCCTTGGGAACAATTTTCTTAAGGAATATGATTGATATAATTAGGAATTATGACATGTATCATCCATACAACACGTGCTCCATTAAGAGATTCCACGAGGTTCAACTCTAACAGGTTATGTAAAATAATTTTTAATTTAATTCAATTGATAAGTAAATTAAATTTATATATTTGAATGAGATTAAATTTATTTTATTTTCATATTAATTTATTTTATTTTTATATTACTTTTATTATTTTCATTTTATTTCTCTAAAGATCTCTAACAATAAGTATTCCGAATAAGCTAGTTTTAACTCTAAATTTATTTTTTTGTAGTATTTTTAAATATTAAATTCCATTTAAAATTTAATTTTTAACCCTCAAAATATTCCAAACATAAAATTTAATTAAAATATCTTCATTGAATTTAATTAAAAGAGTTCCAAGCATGCTCTTAAAGATGAGCTTGGAAGTTGTAGTCTACGGGAGAGACATGTAGCATTGAAAGCCTTAAAAGAGACATGCAAACACAAGAATGGTTGCGAGCCTAATGGGTTTGCGTGTCTTAGGTGAAAGGTCTATTTTTGAACCAGAAAATAAGACATAGGCATGTTCAGTGATGTACATAACTACACCAACCTGAATTTTTATCTTGACTATTATGCAATTTATAGTTTGAACCCACCATCAACCGATAAGAACAGGGTTTTGTTTTTTTTTAATTTAGTTCACCTTTTTTTCTTGTTCTTGCCAGACAGGATAAGAGCTTTGATTCTCTCGAGGGTCTTGTGCTATGTGTGCAGGCAGTGGACAAGAGGTGGGGGAGGACAACGAAAAGCATACGAAGCACAATTTGTTTGACTTTGGTGCTCAATAATAACAGCATAGTGATAGATATTTTCATTACTTGTAATCTTGTAATAGTTCGGCTCCGATAATAATAAGAAGAAAAGAAAAGAAAAGGTGTAGGCTTTGTCGATTGGGTGAGCCCAAACAGGACAGTGGTTGTCCATTAATTTAGGACAACCTACTACCATATGGATGAGGTCTGAACGAACAAAAATCTTATCCTTTAGACCCTCACCAACAAACCATATTTTAGATCTTGTCCCAAAACCGAATTTCAATCTTGTGCACATTCTCATAAAGCTCAACGACTAGGACACCCTACTACCATGGGGGATCCAGTCGTCGTCAGCTAACGTTCGTCAAACTCATGACCACACCTGACTACCATGTGTATTGAGGTTTTTCCTTCCATCAAACGAAAAGAATTCGTGTAATATCGACCAATCTATGAAGAGTGGCTCAAACATACGAAACCCCTATAGATGTTTTTCTTTTCATAACAATAATGATCACGGTACCAAGAATTATCATGCCTTGAAAAAGAGATAGATAGATTGACCGTTAAAGGTTTCCTCTAATAATTTATAATGAAGAAAATGGAACTCGAACAAAAAATAAAGAAGGTTGATGTGTCCTATGATAAATTACCTAAGATCATATGGGCTTCAAGGATTTACATAAAAATAAATTTTAACTTGTTAACGAGAAAATCAATATCACCCCTCTAAGTTGTCTCCTTTTCCATATGTTTTTCTCCATGGTATTGCTCTTATCCATATCTCCATAAAAACCTTCATATTTCTAACAAAAATATTTATATCCTAAACAAAATATTCATGTCTTAAATGAAATTTCTCTGTCTTCGTATAATTATCTCTATAAACATTAATCATGATAATTTTGATATTAATTTTTTATTGTCATTGATATAATTTTTATTTTGACACTATTTTCATGACCATAAAACATTTTTCATCTTAAGTAAAAATGGTTTTCAGCCAAGAAAGAACAAACAAGTCAATTTCTTAGCATGCCAAAACTATCATATGTTAAGATATACAGATAAAGAAACAAGATTTATATGAAGGCAACATAATATATATACAAGACAATAAGTGTTTTTCTTTCCTTTTTTTTTCTATTAGTTAAGCACTTCAAACATAATTTTTTAAAAAACTTAAGGGGCAAATGAAAATACAGCTAATAAAAAATGTGTCAGCCTTGCTATTTGGTTGTTTGAGGGGCAAATGAAAGTACAGCTAATAAAAAACAATCTTTGTAATGCATGCCTTATATGAAATATAGAAGAGAGAAATCAAATTAAAAAAAATTAATTTAACATTACTAAATTGTGGGATGAAATTCCAAATAGTCAAGTTTTTGCCTTCATAATTAAATTAATGATGATTTTTCTTCTTTCAATTTTGCTTTATAGTTTCTTTAGTCTCATATTGGAAGTTGAAGAGTTTCATTTAAATTAGAATCATTTTGAGTGTTAATTTTGTTCAGTCAAGTTTTTAATTAATTGTCAACATTCATTTTCTTTCCTTGTTTTGATTAATTGTCCTACTATTTCAACACAGTAACCAGTTTGAAATAAAAATAAATTAAATTGTTTTTAATTTAATTTAGTTCTAAATCTTAAAAAAGAAGAAGTTAATTTGGTTGTTTTTAGCACAAAACCAAACAAAAAATAATCATATCATTAAAACACTAACTAAATACAATTTAGTAATTCTTGAACCCATGAATCATGTTCTGGGGACACGTATTTCACTCTGCAAAACCTTTTTCGACGATCCTTTCCACTAGAAGTTCAAAATTGGCTTACCAAATTACTTATCCATGGGAATACCATTTAAGGCACGTTCCTTTTATACAGGAGAACCTTCCAAATCTTTGGTGAAGACAGGGACATTTCGATCATGATACACTCTTGCGATGAGTGCCCACATAGCCTTACACGTCCACACGTATCAAGGCCTCATTGTAAGGTAATAAAAGAGTTGAATATCCCCACATGAACACTTGCCTACGATAAGATCAAACAACTTTGAAAAGATGAAGAAGATAAGATCATTCTATGATTTTTCTTTTCTTCCCCCATTTATTAACTCATGGCAGTTGTCACGCACACTTCATTTATTTAACAGCTTAATACAGAAAAATCCCCACAAAATGTATTTTTTTTTTTACAGAAAATCAATCTGGACAGATCCCTCCTCTCCTAACATGCCCTAAAGCTGGATGGATAAAGATAAAGTTGGCTACCTACAGGTCATCCAAATGGGTGAAAAGTCACCGTTATCCTTATCCAAAGGGCTCAAAAACCCAATAGTGCAAGGTTAATCATGTCTTTAACAAGTCAAGCATACTGTCCAATGACAAAAATTTATCCATCTTGCATTATCTTCTCCTATCGAAAAAATGAAGGAAAAAAAAGCATTGAAGATATATTAGTTTTTTTATTAAAAACTCTGTAAATCGGAGAAGAAAACAAATGAAAGCTAAACTAAATTAAGGTAAAAATAAAATAAATAGTTGTTGGGGGTTATGCATCATCATCTTCTTCATCTTCTTGCAGATCTGAAAGGGAGAAGCAACTTTGAGACTTCATACCAAACTTAGCAAACCTCCTCTCATGCAATTTTCTTACTATGATTCCTTGTGCAAGTGCTTCACTTGATGGGTTTTCCTTGTTTTCTTGATCTTGTGCTTGTGCTGCTCTTAATCTTGGGTCGTCGTCGTCATCTTCATCTTCATCTTCATGCAGAGCGAGGAGAGGCATGGATTTTGGATTTGACCAACTGTAAAAAGATTTCCTTGACCATTTATTTGCCATTAAAATTCTCCTCCTTTTGTTAAATGGATTCTCTGGCTTCTCCAATTCCTTCACTGTGTTTACTGTATTCACTTCTGATAAATTTGTGAATGACTTTGATTTCCCTGAAAAATGATTCGATAATCCCCTCCTAAAATCAAGAAAAAAGAAAAACACCAAAATCAACTAAAATACCTCAAGAAAAATTACAAGCTCTTAAAAAATAATATTTTTATAAGCTGTAGCTAAATCAAGTTTTCTTGAAAATAAATCAAGAGATGGAGAATTATTAACTACTTATAGGGGGAAAAAAACCCAAAATCAACTAAAAAAGCCCCCAAAAATTACTTACTTGATAGGAAGAGCATCTTCTAAAGAATTCAAAGTGCCCAAAACGTTGCTCTTTTTCGAAGAAACGACACCATCTTCGTCGTCATCGTCGTCTTCTTCTTCTTCTTCACTGTCATCCGGAGCTCCGATTGACGAAGAACTCTCAGATAAATCATCCGTGTGTATACCCGACCCGCCCCGGCTCGAGATCGGACTCTCATCACCATCACCATCTTCCTCTTTCAAGAACAAGAACGGCGGGGCCATTCCCACCTGGTGCTTCTCCTGCAGTGGTGGAGGCACAACGAACGACGACCCATTTGAGGAAACATCGCCGCCGATGCTAAAAGTGGGTCCCACCAAAACCTCCATGAACTTTATCGCTCTCACAGCTAATCACAAACTGTAAATTGCTAATGGATGGTAAAAGAAATGGGAAAGTGGGGATCTTTTTTTACCGGTTTAGCCTTCACCTCTCCTCCGTCGTCTTCTTCTCTACTATTTGGTTTCAAGATCGGGTTCGCTACCATGAAAAGGTTAGCACAAGGTAAGAGATGGAGTGCGGGATAAGGAGGTAGGGTGAGGGTTAAGGAGAGAGACAGATCACAAATTTATAAAAACAGGAGTGCTTCTTGAGATGGAAAGAGGGAGTGAGAGAGATAAGGAAGGAGACTGGGTGGATATATAGGCACTCAAAATGTATGGATTATGTCTATGTCTGCAGGGAGTTAATATCTTTTTATTTGGTCCCTCTATTTTTATTCTTGTTTCACTTTGATCACTAAACTAGTTCTTATTTTGATAGTATTCATTCTTCAACTTTATTTTTCCAGGCGTACCCAGTCTTCCTTAACATGATATATTAATCTAAAAAAATTCATGATTCTAGATATGATTTAGTTTGAAGTTCAAGTTAAATTTAAAAAAAAAAGTAATTTAATAAAATTGAAATTACTTAGTTAAGTTTTTAGTGACCGAATTTATTTTATTAAAACTTAACCAAATTAATATCAAAAGGATTAAAAATACAAAAATAAAAATAATTAATTTATTAATCAAGTTTATTTTTCAAGTTATTCCACTAATTGATATAACAACTACTATTATATACTTTTTATAATTTTCACTTAACTTCATCTATGGCTATTCGTTTAGGATTTCATTTTATTTTTACTCCATCAAATCATCTTCATCAAAATAGGTATGACAGTAGGATGATGCTATTAAGATTAAAAACAAATATGTCTTAGTTAAGTTTTTAGTGACCTAATTTATTTTATTAAAACTTAACCAAATTAATATCAAAAGGATTAAAAATACAAAACAACATCATTTGGTATGACAGGAGGATGATGCTATTAAGATAAAAGAAAATATGAGGACCAAAGTGAGATGAAATTTAACAGTAGATGGATGGACGAGGGACATTGGTATTCTATATCTATGAGTATTTATATACGTACATACGGTGAAAAATGTACGAACTACGAAGTATATGTAGAGAAAGTAGAGATAGAAATGATAACATCCGCCGGCGTGGGCTTAGGTTCGACACGTTCTTGATGACGTGGCAAAGAGGATCTGAAGGGAGATTGATCATAAACGACATCCATACACCGCCCTCTATTGTAGCATAAGGTTTTTTTTTTTTGGCTAGAAAGTAAGGAGTATCGACGTGATCCTAAATTTGTTTCTTGAATAATCTTAATAATATATTTTCGATATCATTCTAATATATTTCAAAAGTAACATTTTTCAGGATTAATTCTTATATTTGAAAATGAAAATTTTAAATAAAGAGAAAATCTAGTTGATTATTAAGATTATTTTTAGGTAGTGTTTTAATATTATCTTGAGACAAAATAAACCAAAAAAAAAATAGAGACATAAAAGTATTTAGTTATAGAGATAGAAATTTAAATTTAAATTTCAATTTCAATTTCAATTAAATTTAATTTTTTTTATAGTATTTACATTTTATTATTATATTGAGAAAGAAAATATTAGGTTGGATAGATAAAAATATAAATATAAATTAATTTTTTTAATAATTTTGAAATACATTTATATATTTTTAAAATATAAAATATAGAAAAGACATGTTATTTCTATTTTTATTACCACTATTTTTTTTATCTTGAAAGAATAATTAAATGCTATTTAATGATTCATATCAATATATATATATATATATATATGTGTGTGTATTAATTGATGATGATTCAAAATATAAAAATATACTTGAAAATAAATTTTTTTAGTGATTGGATAATGGATTAATTAAATAATCATTCAAATAACCTTTTTTAATAATAAAAAAATTACATTTTAATAAATGACTGGTGATACATACAAAATATTTTTTTTCTTCTAGAGATTCAAGGATACTCAAAGAATTAAATTAGTAATTTTATTAAAAAATATATGTTAAAAGGTATTAAATTCTAAAAACAAGGTTATTTATTTTATTTTTAAATATATTTTTGATATAGTTTAAGGGATATTTAGTCTATAAACTTTATTTTTTACTTGAGCTAAAGGTTAAAAAGTTATTTTATTCTTATTACATTAATCAATAATAAATATTAGTTATATATGTATTAACGAGAAATAAATATTTTATACATGTATATTAATAAAAAAAATAAATATTTATTACATAAATATTAACAAATAAAAGTAAAATTTGATTTATAAGCTCATAAATATTTATCCATGTTATTGAATTTAAAATTAAGAATTAAACCACTAGGGTTGAGCACATATCTAACAGTCGAGATCGAGTATGATGCTGGAGCCGAAAAGATGTTGGACATGAATCCAACATCTAGGCTCAAGTATATTTTACAAGTCTATAGAATATTTGATATTGTACATTAATTATATTTATGACCATAAAGAAAATCAAAAAATATTTTTAAAAGTGTTAAAAACAAATATTTTCTAATAAACATTAAAAATATAAATAAATTTTTTTCCATCATTAATATTTGACAAGCTTAATAAATTGATATCTAAATACGTGATGTGATTTGATTTGGGAAATATGCATGAGTACAACGTGATGTGATTTGATTTGGGAAATATGCCTGAGTACATTTAGTTTTTTTATATATAAATTAATAAATTGACAAGCTTAATAAATTGACATTTAAAAAAAAGAAGCTCTCCCATCCACGGTTATGTTGGTTTAGTCAATTTAGCAGCAATTTAACCCATAATTCTCCACGGTTATGTTGTTTTTTTAATAAAAAAAATATTGATAATGCTGTTTCAATTTGTTTTTAATATAAAAAATTTCAAATATAAATTAAAAAACTTATACAAACATCTAAGTAAAATATCTCAATAATTATTTATATAAATAAATAAAAATAATCATTAACTATGACCAAAAAAAATTTAAAAATTAAAAGATAAATACAAATTAAAATATTCAATTATGCAAAATAAAACACTCACCTAATTATATTTACTAAACTTGATTTGGCTCATACTTTACAGCAAGCGGTAATTATTTTTTAAAGAAAAAACTTGAGTATAGAAGCTATTTTGATTTTTTTATAAATAATAAAAATTATAAATAAAAATAAAAATATCTATCCAAACATCTAATAATCATCTATGTAAATAAAAAAATCATTAATTATAACTAAAAAAATAAAAAAATTAAGAGATTGATATAGATCAAAATATTTATTCTTGCAAAATTAGATATTTACCTACTTGTATCAACTGAAATTATTTATTAAAATCAATAAAAGATAATAGAAATAAAAACACATATAAAACCAAGTGAATAAAAAAACAATGCAAATTAAAATAAATAGAAATTAAAAGAATTGGAACTAAATTCAACATAAAAATTAATTGAAATTAAATGTTTAGGGGAAATGAAATGAAATGAAATTTTTAAGGACGGAATTGAAAAAAATCAATTAAAAAAGTAAATAAAAAATAGCAATTAAAAGAATATGATTAGGGATGAAATGGAAAAAAAATCAATTTAGAAAATGAATCAAAACAAAAAAAATAAAAAAATAAAGACCAAATTTGATTAAAAAAATTAAAGAAATCAAATGACCATGAATAAAACTAAAAATAAAATAAAATAAAATTATAAATCATAAATGTAATTAGTATAATTGCAATTAAGAGAATAAAAACTGAATCAAAAGAAAAAGGAAACTAAAGAGTTGGTTTGATTAATATTTTGTATGGCTAACTTGCAATTAAAAAAAAAAA